TCTGAACAGTCCATTCTTGGTCACCATGTATGCTGAGGGGTGTCCCTCTTGTTGTGCCACTCGTTTGTCGGCTTGGTCGATCCTTTTTGATCTTATTGATGTTCACCATGAGAGGAATGTGCCAGTCTGAATCTTTTCTGCCGTTCATGAGCATTTCGTTGTCGAGATACTTGACGCGTTCCGAAGACGAACCCCTGTAGTTGCGGAAGACCTTAAGAGGATCTTCTTCATACTGGTCCTTTCCTTCGTGCGTCATGGTGGTGTACGCAAGTTCATTGTGCCTTCGCTGCATCCTGACCTTTGTCAAGTGATATATGAAAATCATCACATAGTCAGGAAATGCCTGCGTTCTTTCTGCAACTTTGTCATTGTAGATGCATCTGGCCATGTCCTTGAGGGCCGTAGACTCAGCGCTCGAGACGGTGTTCGAAAGAATGTTGATACTGATTGAACCTCAGCTTGTCATCGAGTCCAAGTGTAGAGTGACATGTTTCCTGGTACACATGTGAGTCATCGACGGATTTTGTTGAGGCGCTCGTCGTAGATCGACAAGCCAGTTTCTTATCGTAGACATTGCTTCAGGAACGTGTTCTTGAAGAGGACACCATGCTTGGCTGATCGGGCAAGGATGAACTTGCTCTGAGAAATGGATTCCCGTGTTTGGGCTATTTTGGGCTGCTCTGTCTGAGCAGTCGTTGCAGTGACGAGGATCGCTTACCTGTCACTCGGTATGTCCCGTAGAAAATTGGCTGCAGCCATCTTTTCAGGATAGTCGTCGGTGCAGACCAGGTGAACATGCTTTCTGCCGTTGTCCTTCAGCTAATGTCCCGGTTTCACAAGGATCTTGCAGAGGTCTTTGTAGGAGGTAGCATGTTTCATGAATGCGATATTGAGCATTTTGATGAATGGTCGTGATGGCGCATCTTGCTCAAACTATCTTGGAGCATAGTTCCCGTTTGGCAAGATTCCATTGGTCGGGAACAGCTTGTTTGCTTCACACACACATTAGTAGCCTTGTCCTTTGATCTTGATTCATCCTTCTTGGCGGTTTCTTTCTTGATAAGTCCTTGTGGATGTTGAGGTTCTTCACTCGGGAGGCTGAAGTGCATCTCCACGTGAGTCGCGTCCAATCTTGCCATGGTCTTGTTGCCCAATAGGACGTCCAAAATAGTGACTCTCAATCTCTCCGTGCCGCGATTTTCCAGTTATTTGCGTAGTTGTGGCCATCTGGCTTGAGAGCTGTACTGCTGGAGTCACGAAAGTCGAGTGGCAGGTTGTTGACCCATTGATGTGTTGGAACCATCTTGCTGTCTCTGTTCCGTTCTTCCGAATGTCCATCTCAGGAAACACAAATGCAAGTTCAAGTTGGGGTTCTCGCCACTGAGCGTTGCGCTGTTGAGCTTGTCGAGCAGCTGGTATCGTGTGATTCGATGTATGTCGAAGTGCCTGAGCTAGTCGGCTGATTCTTTCAACTCATAGGATCAGTGATGCGATTGAGCTTGCTCTATCTTCACGTAGCCGAAAAGGCTCCAGAACATCCTCAAGTGGGAGCACGTCTTGACCAAGAGGTTTGGCATTGAGGTGGCTGTGCCAAATCTTGGCAAAACTTGTGCGGATAGACTTGTGCAAGTCGGGTTCTGCTTCCAAAGGTGCTTGCATTTCCTTCTCATTGTTGATGTGCCTGCTTCACCTTGCTGGAGCAGTTCCCGCTTTTTCGGTCGCGTAGCTTCCTTTGGCAAGTTGTGAAGCAGGCTTGGCGGTTGTGGACTTCTGAGCTTGTTCTCTGGATCTCACACTCCGCGTGCGCAAAAGTCAAGGTCTCCCCATGTGACTCGAACGCAATTCCAACTCCCGAGCCCGAGTCGCGATGGCTTGGTGAAGCATCTTCCGTTTCAGTTGACATCTCGCGATGGCTGTTCTGCGTGTTTGACCATGGTCCGCATACTAGTGCCAAAAGGATGACGTCAATGACCTTTTGAAGTCATCACATCAAATCCATCTCTGATGTCGACAGGAGTACCAACCTTCATTCCGGCCAATGCGCAACACTGACTGAATCGCGCACTTGGAGCTATCATAGGATTAGATCTGGGAGCGCGCCTCATCAAGGTCAACTCTACAAAGGCTCGGATGAGTTCGGAAGGATGAGACGATTTCACCTGGGAAACCAGGAATATATTTTCTACTACCAAATTTAACGTGAACAACGAGAAACATCATCCGGGCCAGAAGAAGAATGAACCGAGTACGCCGTCGACAAAGCCACCATCTGCGAGAAAGTCACCACCGCGCTCACAACGACGGACCTTGCCCACAGCAACAGCAACTGAGACCATATTCGTGGAGGATCTCTCATTTCATGAACGCACATCCTCGAGATCTATTACCTTTCCCTTCAGCCATATGCCACCCTGAGCGAATCTTTGATTTGTCTTGCGGCCAATAGAACACTTTGTCACCTGGCTGGAGAGGTTTTGAACTCATTCGAAGATTCTGCGCATCGCAGCCGGAGGGGAGGGCGGCTCAATTCCGTGCAATGTCATGTTGCGCCGGTTAGTTCTTCGGAGTCTTCTTCCGTCTTTGCTGCTTTCGAAGTTTGCTGGCGGATTCCGAGGTTTCTTTCTCCTGCAGAGTCTGTCATTGATGTTCCAGCGACGTTCCATCTTATTCGCCATGCTTCTGGACAGGTCCTGGGTTTCCCGGTTTACGCCCGGACAGTATGCGACGCAGTCTTGTCTGTGCTTCCTGCGCAGCAGTTGATGTGTAATGCCTGGTTTAGAGGTTGTTTCCGGGCTTGCTGTTCAAGATTGCTGCGAACTGCTTTCCCAAAGCTTCGGCCGTACCTTTTCAAGCTTTTGCGCTGAGGGGTGCGCCCAAGCTGGGGGCCCCTTCAAGCTTGCATTTTTGAAAAGCGCCAAGCTGCTTTCCTGCGGCTTAGTGCGCCGCACGGGGTTTGGACCTCATTTGGTGGCCTTGTGATTTAGATTGCCCTTTGTTGCTCCTGGGCGGCTTTATCCTACTTTGGTTTGGCGCTTGGGCCTCCATGTGTGATGGGAGGCGCTGAGGCTGCCTTGCTGCAGCATTGCGCGCCGCAAGGGTTCAGTGCATCCCGCGCGCCCCCCATAAAGCGAGCGCCCGCCACTCCCCAAACAACGAAAGGTGCAGGTTTGCCTTTCTCTATGTCCACATTGTGGTAGGGCCCGGGCAACCTTCGAATCATGCTGTGTGGGGTTCAATCCCTTGCTGCGCATACCTACACGCAAATCCGATGATACTGAGAGTTGATGGAACGTCGAAATGGTGTATTTTACGCAAGTGACTCGTGATGACATGAAACACCGTGTGTTTGTGTCTACAGGGCAACCGCCGGAAACACAGGGCTTCCGGATTTCGAGACAAACCCAGTGGTGGTTGTCGAACTCATGTACCCCTTTTTGGTAGTCCGTTTCGTTCGCAAGGAGTAGGTCCCGATTGGCGCTGGTCCTGGGCTGGGACTGGCTCGTAGGGATACAAGAGACGGTGGCTTTCCTTTTGGTTTCCTTGGTGTCAACCAGCCCAACTGGGTACCTTTCGAAGCACATCGAAAACAAGTGCCCTTTGTGGTTGGTTTTGTGGTTGGAAGCCAAATGGCAGCCATTTTGAAGGTTCCCCTGTCTTGGTGTTTTCTGCGCCAGGTTGATAAAGGGGCTCAAAAGAACCGTTTACTGGTTGTGGCTCCATAAGGATTACTAAAAGAAGCATGATCATTGTCCAGGGAGTTGTGACCACACCCAGGTGGCCTTCCTGTTGGCTCTCCTAAACATGAGATGTCGGAAACAAACCGTAAGATTCCGATTCCTCGGATGTGATGCCTTACCGTGTGATCTGTGGTCGATGGGTTGGGGTTGGGGCTTAACCTGGCTCCTGAACATTGGTGTCACTGGGCAGTTTGAGCAAGGTCACCAAGGAATCCCTCCGTTTCCCCTAGCCCCAAGAAGGTCATCACCGAGACTTATATTACTCTTGGGCGTGTCCTTCGGAAATAGCCATTTTCAAGCGAGCTTCGTTGGGCAGGCGCACCAATCCAATTGGTCCTCCGGCCGTGGTGACTTTCTCATATTTGACCGGGCCCCGGAAACAAGACGGCCACTTTCCTGGAATGTGGGGCACTCTGACAGCAACACAGGGAGAACAAGGTGTGTAAGGACTTTTGCCCCTTACACTATTCAGTACAGCCCACTGCTTCTCAGTTACCTTGCAGTAGGTAACCAACCGTATTTCCGTTTGCTTTTTGAAGACATTTTGCTGGGATACCTACAGAACCAGTTAAATGGATCGACTATCTGAGGTGCCTGCGCTGTGAGCTGCAAAGGGCCTTCTGAGTCAGCCGGCGATACGTGCCCTGTCAACCTGTTTTCGGAGAGGGTTTTCTCTTTGAATTCTACAATACCCTTTTTCAACTTTTTTGGGGGGAGGGATCCCCTTTGAAGTCAACTATCACCCCCCTTTTCCGCTTTTTGGGGAGGGTCCCCCTTCAATGGAAGGCCGTTATTTTTTTGTCGGAAACCAAGCATTTCGGGGGGCCACCCTGAACACTTGGCTTGGATAGATGATCGTCGACCCTGAGGGGGATTGGGATTTCAGACACACAAGGTAAGGTTTCCTATTTGACTAAGGCTTCACCATGGTCCGCAGGAGTTTCGCGCACGGTGCATGTGTTCAAGGTATTTTCAGGCTTTTGGGGTTTGTAGGGAAACCAACATGAAGTGAAGCCGGTTGGGGTTTGGCTTCAAACACCTTTTGGAAACTCATGTGTGGTTCCTCTAGGCGATGTTGAATGGGGCAATTCAAGGGCCCCGTGTCAGCGCTTGCCAAATGTCTTTTTCATGAGCGGCTTCCAACTTTCCGATCAACGAACAAAAGAGCTGCCCAACACAAATGTTCCCGTGAGCAACGTGTTTGATACGCTTTGGAGTTTCGAGTTTCCCAAAAGGGCCTTGGACCCTACGACATCGGCAGTGTCTTTTGGCCCGCCCCAATGCAAACCGCGAAGTCGCCGAAGCGCCAGAGACCGGATCCGGAAAAAACTATGGAGAAGCGGCGCGATGAAATTGGACTGGGGATTTAATGGTCGGATTTGGCGCTGTCCAGTGACTTGGATGTCAAGTTTGCTTCGAAGTTGGATGACCATTGTGCTTTCTCCGGGCTCCTGAGGTGCGTAGAGGACAACCCAGGTGAGCGAAGCTTTTTTGCCCGTAGGCTAAAGCAGTACGAAGAGGGGCATTGTTCTTGACCCTGTGCGCCGCGCCAGAAGCATTTGGAAGGCTTCACAGAAGGGATGTTTCCGCGGAAGGTTTGCGGTTTAGTATGAACTGTTTCAGCTTGATAGAAAAGCACGATGAAACGATTACAGTAGAGGCAGAAAGGTGGCAGTTGCAGCCGTTGCCGGCCCTAAGACGACCGCTGTCCTGATGTTTGCATTTCATTAGGGCATTGCCAAAGATTACAAGCGAGTGGCCAACGCATTTCCTGTCGTTTCTGTGCATTTGCCACCGCCAAGTTTTGGGTGGACGCCAGTGCTCACTGATGGCCGTAAGCGCTGTCGGTGATCAGGAGCGCTGGCTGGGATGGGAGTGATGAGTCAAGGTTGTCAAGGGTAAGGAATTGAATCGGGCCCTTGTGCCGACAGTGATCCCCAATTTTGAGAATCGCATTTGTTCCAGCTTGTTTGAAATCCCCACCAGCCGGGTATGTCCCAAATAGAGGGACCCCCAAATGGTGTTTTGGCTTTCGGTTTCCCTGTCCTGATGCGTTTTGGAAGCCCCTTTTTACGACTCAAGCGTGGGGGAAAACAACCTGCGCTATCAAGGGTTATGAGCCCAAACCAACGGTAGCTCCTCAGTGCGGCGGTGATGGACGCAGGGATGAGGAGGAGGAGATCGAGGAGTATGGATGTGGGGGTCATGGTGGCTGAGCAGGAGGCTGGAGAAGACAGAGAAGCACCGCGGCAGAAGGTCGAGATAAACCCTTTCTGGAGCTCAGGGGAAGTGGATCTTCAACCGGAAGAATATGAAGATGATGAGGGCCGTAGGGATCAACGCCTATGGGAAGAGGTGTGCAGAAGGACAAGAACTCAAGAAAGGAAGGAGCTGACAGCTGGGTCGGGAAGGCAGGCACCCTTGACCCTGGACTGGGTATGGATAGATGAGCACAAGGTGTGGGTACCCGAGCTTCCTCAAAGAGAAGATGATGATGAGCTGATTGGTGAACTGGACTTGGCCCACGAGATGGAAAAGAACTTTATGCAGGCCTGTCGGAAAATACGAGGATTGGAGCAGCAGTGGAAGTACCTGTTCGGCATCATCGAGCAGGGACAAGCGAATAACAGCAGGAACATGTTCTCCGGTTATGTTGTTCTACATACATTTTCCCAATCGTGCATTGTAGAAGCTGGGGTTTCACTGGCAGACAGGCAGACAGCGCACGTATGATGCCCCCGCGTGCACGTAGCCTACACTTGGCGAATTGTTTGATCAAGGCAATCAGCGGCGGATTTGAACGCGGAGGTCAGGGTGGACTCTGGGGCCCGGGATTCACCAAAAAGGAGGTGATCAATTGCTGGTTCTTCATCTCGGAGAATGGATGCCAGGCAGGGAGAAGCTGCAAGTCGCCTCACGATTGGTAAGGGGCCTCAGACAAGGCATCGCGGTGCTGGAATTGTGGGGGAAGAATTACAGAAAGGCGTGAAGGCGGGAATCCACATGTGAATGGAAAGCCGACCCTGAAGCCGGCGGTGAAGGCGGCCAAGTGCGATACATCGTCAACGGCGGCTACTACGGTGGTGGATCTACGGTAGGGGGAGCAGGCAGGGGAACGGGGGAGTTGTTGAAGCAACCAGTCTTCTTCGCTCATTGAGAATGCCATCCATGAACGCGGAGGACTGCTTGATGGAGGAGCAACGCATGCCTTGAGAAATTGTGGAGGTGCGCCTGGCAGATGGTTCCAGTACAAAATGAGGAGTAAGCCCGCGACTTTGACCTGTTGGCAGAGAAGGGCGGTAATTGCGCCGATAAAAGCCATGACGGAAGCGAACGGGAAGTGCTCGGTGTCGTACCAGGGCAATCCGGTGGAGGTATGGTGTCTGGGTGCCCAATGGTCGAGTGCTCAGGTTTTACTCATGAGACAGTTGCAAGCATTTTTTGCTCCACTAGACAATGTCACCTACGTTCCTTTATATAGGCACTTTTATCGGATTGACACAGCACCCTTACTGTACTGATAAGCGCCCCTCGCCAACTCGAACATCTGCTACATCCACTCGTACGCCAACTCGTCCACTCGTACGTCCACCCGCACGTGCACTCGTACGCCCACTCGTCCACTCGTCCACTCGTCTTTCCACTGGTCCGCCTACTCGTCCACGCCACTCGTACGACTTACGCACCTACTCGTCCACTCGTACGTCCACTCGCACGTCCACTCGTACGCCCACTCGTCCACTTGTGCGTCCACTTGTGCGTTTACTCGTACACCTACTCGTCCACTGGTACGTCCACTCGTACGTCCACTCGTCAAACCACTACTCGTACGGGCGTCTAATTGGGCCTTAAAAACCCGTTTACGAGGTTTAGAACCCAGCTAAGGAATCTGCTATGGCTTCCCGAACCTCACGAAATCGGAGAAGGAGATGGTCGAGGGAGACTCAATCCTGTGGATCGTAGCGGAAGAGACGGCGAGAAAAAGAAGGGGCTTGCCGACGTGGGTATGTTCAGGAGCAACCTCGAGATCCCGATAAATACAGGGTTGACACCCCGAAGGAAAAGTTGGTCCGCTTGTGGCGCTTTCGGGCGTGGAAGGCCTTCGCGCTGCGGTTTTCGGATGGAGATGACTCATCTGGATCAAGGACCGCTGGGCCATGAACGAAGGAAACCCGCTACCATAGCCACGAACCTGGAAGGATTGCAAGGACTGGGACTGGGGGAGGTTGGCGTTGTTGGAGAACTTGGAACCCGACAAAACGGTGGCCTGTATGGGCGCCGGGGCTGGTGCGAGTGATCAAGGAAGCGTGGTCATGAAGAAGGCGGGCAAGATGAAGCACGGGCATTTCGATCTTTGAGTGCAACCGCTCTGGAACAGTGGAAAAGACACTTCAAGTGGGACCACCAACCGGCTCGTACTTGTGTAGAGAGCCAAGGAAGAGGCAGACCTCCTCGTCGGATACAACACCCGCAGGCTTACACGCTGTCTGTGGATTTGTCGGGGCGACTGGTTGGCAAAGTACTTTGTGGCCGCGGTCTGCACCTACCCGACGGATCGGCAAGGGAAGTCTCTTTTGGCGGATCATCACGAAGGGCCTGAGCATGATGACCTGGAGGATCTGGAGGTCGACGTGCTAGAAGAAAAAGAGGAAAGAGAAAGACTGCCAGAGAAGGAAGCAGAAAAAGAGATAAAGGCCAAGGACGTATTGGACAAATGGTGGAGAAGGCTTAGAATGTGGGGATCGCCGGTCTATAGGCTTCACATTGATCGGGCCCGAGAGCTGATGGCGGCGCAGGTGGGACGCTGGGCGGAGGATCGGAACGTGGTTAAGACGACGGTTCCGGGAGATGCCTTCAAGGAGAATGGCCGAGTGGAGGCAGAAGCTGGGGTTCTCAAAAGGGCGACCAGGACTCTGCTCAAGGCGGGCGGAGAACCCGCTACATCGTGGCCTATGGCGCTGAGACATGCTGGCGAAGGACGTCTTCGGAGGCAACTTCAAGCGGTGGGACTACCGGTAAAGGAGATGCTGCCGCGGGGAACGAGCTGGAATGAGCGGTATCAGGATGCGATTTGATCGGGAGCGGGTCAAGATCATGGGTCCAGATGCGGTTATGTCGGCGACATCAGGAGGCTACTGGGTACGAAGTTGCGGAGACGGACGGCGCTTTGCAACTACGGACGTTATCAGGGAGCCTGAAGAGGAAGAAGTGATACTAGAAGAACGAGAAGGGCCAGATCTTTTGATGCTGCGAGCAGATCGGCCAAGGAGGCGCCTGAGGGAAAAGACAGCTCTCCCAATAGACTAGATTAGACTATTTTCTGTCTAATAGTTAAATCTTATTTTTCTGACTATTAGTTAAATCACTTTAGTTTAAATTCTTGTTTTTAGACAAACGTGATTCTAACTAATATACACATCGATTCTAACTCATAGTTTATTTTTGCGGGCACAAAAAATCTGACTAATAGTCAGCCCGGAATTCTAACTAATAGTCAGGGAAAATCTGACTAATAGTTAGAATTTGTGTTGCTTTTGGGGTCGAAGTTTGGTCGAAACTTCGACGAAACTTCGACCCACACCATGTACACACATTTCAAACTGCGACCAAACTGCGACCCCCCAGAAACACATATTTAAAACTGCGACCAAACTGCGACCCCCCCAGAAACACATATTTCAACCAAACTTTCACTCCCAAGTTCAACCGCCGGCTTTCACGCGCAACAGCCTTCTTGGCTTGTTCTTGGCGCGTGTCTTTCTTTCACGCTCGAATTTGGCCGCAGAGCGCCTTGTGTGCAGACTTTTGCGAAGCGCGTCGTCAAGCCGCAGTCTCTGCAAGAGCTTCTTTCATCACACAAGGCGCTACATTTCTGTGAGCGCTTTCACGTTTCCTTGCTTCATGCACTGTCACGCGGGCGTCTGTCTGTGCGCACGTGTGCATGTTTTGTGCACTATACCCGTTTGCGTGACACAGCCAGGGAACACACCTTTCACGAAAAAAAACATCTCAAGAGACCACACTGTGGGGCAAAACAATTGCGAGATACCACTTCGCTTTGAGGGGCAAACTGTCAAACACAACCTTCGGGGAAAACTGTTTCGGGTCGTTTGATGGACACATGTGAGTTTATATTGTTGAGAAACAGCTGGAAGAGTTGTGAAAGACCACTTTGAGGGACAAACATTTGGAGGGACTGCCACCACGAGAAAATTTATATTGAAGGGAACCAGTTTTGTGAAAGCCCCCTTTGAGGGACAACTGCGGGAGACCACACTTTGAGGGGAAAATGTGAGAGACCACACTTTGAGGGACAGCTGTGAGACACCATGCTTCAAGGGGCAACTGTGAGAAACCACATTTTGAGGGGCAGCTGTGACAGATCACTTTGAGGGACAACTGTGAGCCACACTTTGAGGGACAACTGTGAGAGAGGGACCACACTTTGAGGGACAACGATGAGAGACCACTTTGAGGGACAACTGTGAGAGACCACAGCTCGAGGGGCAACTTGAGAGCCTTGCGCAAAAGGTTCGCACGGACATGTGGGAGAGGCAGGGTCAAAGCATGTGTTTGCTCACCAAAAAAGGTTCCCTTGTAGAGGCGTGGGCTTTACGTCAGAAAAGAACATGTCACAATGTGTGTTTTTGGAAAAGAGGGGGCCCTTTTAGTAGAGATGCATTGTATTAGGTGGCCTCGCAGCACGAGACACGCTGTCGGGACACTGCTGAGAGGGAGAATGTATCCTTCACGGCGCAAACCAAACCCAACCCTCCTTTGTTGGAAGCCAAAGCCATTTGATTGAGTTGGGGGGCTGGAGCCACGCAAATCACATGAGGCCTCAAGCAACAGTAAGCCTTTGAAGTTTGCTCTCAAGGCACGCTTAAGCACTCACGGTCGACGTGAAAGGCGGTCAACTTTCTCATGGCCCCAAACCCTTATACATGTTTCGACGGTTTCTCTCCTTGTTTGTGCTGACCTTTGCCACACGCAGGCGTTTGGGAGACATTGCGCACGCATAGCTGCTGCACAGCTCATTCCATCGCGCCATGTCCTCGCAACACTTTGAGGGCGACTCCCAAATGCTTGATCTTGATGCTCTTGATGCTGAAGATGGCGATGAGTTGGGGCCACCTGTTGGCTTCGCAGTCATGAACGATGGAAGCACCCGGGGAACCTTGCCAGAATTCCTCAGCCCCGTCACCGCCAGCCTTGCCGACAGCTTGCTCAGTCTCATCAAGGACAACAAGAATCAAGACAAGGAGGAGAAGTCTGTGGAGGGCAACAACGACAACATGCAGGAGGAAGAGTGCGGAAAGGGGAAGAGCAAGGCAGAGGACAAGGGTGGCCAAGGAACAAACAACAGTGGTCAGGGCGCGTCCTCATCATCTACTAAGAAGACAAAGACCAAGAAGTGACGCCGGGCGCTTTGCCGACACGGATCGCTCTCCTGAGAGAAAAAAACAATGGGTCTATTGCCATAATGAAGCTAGAGTTCCAGTGTAACACTGGCCACCACTCCCATGGCCACAGCTACGCGCCCACAAGCATGATAACTTGTTTGAGAGCCGGAATGCCCCTGCTGCGCCAAAGCAACTTGAGGCTCGTCATGCCCCGCAGCCCCTAGTTTGTTCTTAGATATCGATTTCCCAGTAAAAAGCAAAGCTGAGTTTCCAGAAACATACGTTGACAACATGTCTCTCCACATAGGGGGGGTCGAAGTTTGGTCGAATGTTGGTCGAAACTTCGACCCGTAGTTTGATCGCACTTTGGTCGTAGTTTGGTCGCAGTTTTGTTAAAACACTGTAAATACCAATGTTTTATGATATGATCATATAAAACTACGACCAAACTGCGAGTCGAAGTTTCGACCAACATTCGACCAAACTTCGACCCCCCTTTCAACTCCCTTAAATGTGGCAATGAAAAACTGTACTAAAATGGTTGTGAATTTTGAGAGGAACAGTCTTGGGAGGGGCTTGGGGGCGTCAAGATTCTTTAGGAAGCCAATATATTTTGGTTCCTCTCAAGGTGCCATCTCTCAAGGTTGCAGGCCACTCTCAAAGTGTCTCTCTCACGGCGCGGTCTCTCTGGCGCAAAGGTGTTTCTCCAACAAATGCAATCGTCAAAAGAGTTTCCAGTGACTTTAGGTTAGTTTGAATTTCAACCAGCAGGATTGAAGAGGCACCGTGGGGAGAGCCTTTAAGTGGCGGTTGCTCGTTTGTTTGGGCTCACAGGGGTGAGAAGCGACATCGAAAGTGACTCAGAGGAACATGTTGTGAGCAAACCACTGCGCAAACTACGCCTCTCACCTTTTGCACTGAGTACGTCACCTCCCCAACTTCCCCCGAGTCTTGTTTTCGCCACTCTCACGTCTCACACCTCCTGAGGAAGCGCTCGCTCAGAGCTTCAAGTACCCTAATGGCGTGGTGTCCTTGGTCCTGTGTAAGCTGCATCAGCGCATCCGCAACGTCTTTGCCGAAGTAGTGCCTAATGCTCGCAAAAGCACCCTTGGTTCTTTTTTTACCAGGCATATACACTGTATTGCTCGAGTCAAATGTAAAGTGGCCAGCGTCAATAAATACAACTTCAAGCTCGCCGCGTTCACGAACTCCGAGGTTACGAAAGCCAACGTCCATCACCCGAACGCCTGCAAGGGTCGCGCGCGCCAAAATAGCAACAACGTGCTCAGCGAAGTAAACATCAGCGGGAGGATGCCGTTCCAAATACTCCTCAGCAGTTTCAAAGCGATCTTGCACCACCGCGTGCAACGGGAATGCCATGTGTTCCTGGTGCCATGCCAGCTACCATAAACGCCAGGCGCTAGGTCAGGAGCCCACAGGCTCAGCTTCATGTCAGGTTCGTTATCTGACAGGTGTCGCGCAAACTTGATGACCTTTCCAGGTGGATATTCATACACAATTCTTTGCGACCCCCACGCCACCCTTCTGATAGAGATTTGCTCGCCCCCCACCCACGTAATCGTTGCCACCTCAGGGAAATGGCTATTCCACTTTTTACCTGAAGAGCATGCCAGGCCATTCAAAATGAACTGCCATGCGCTAGAAGAACTAGATGCTTCCTGCGGTCCCAGCTCAGCGCCCTTGCAGGCATCTTCACTACTACACAATGCAGGCGCAGGTGAGGCTTCCCACGACAATGCTCCAATTGCAAACCCAAGTTGCTGAACATTTCTTGGAAGAAGGTATTGCCTATTTCGACGTGACTTCGAAATGTCACATGCTGCAAGAGCTCGCCATCCTTGCTCGTCACATCAACCCTCGGCTCATTTGGGTGTTTTGCGGGGAAGACATGATGCAAAAGATGCAACAAGTGGCGCAGAGCTGCACCAGGGGCAACACCCCGGGCCAAACCAATTTGAAAATGGCCCGCCACTACCGCCTCGGATTGCATTTCTTGTTCAAGAAACGTCACGGATGAAGGCGTTGCTCTCTGTCTTTCTCACACCCCAAAGCACTTTGCGCTCGCGTACTGTGTGTGCAAAAAAAGGCGCGCCATCAAGCTGTCTTTCATGCAACAGACAAGAAAACACGAGGAGCCCGCCAAAGGGGTCATCGCAAATACTTTTCGCAGAAGATCTAAGAGGTTTTAGGGGATCACCTTGAGAGACACACCTTGAGAGATGCGTCTTGAAGGGTTTGCTTCGAGAGAGGCGCCTTTGTTAACAATGCGAGACGAAAATCTCATGGCCTAGCGCTGCCGAAACGGCGCATGGGAGTTATACCCTCACACAAGCGTATCTGCGCGCAAATGCGCTCACATTAAAATATTGTCACATGAACGGGGGGGGAACAAGATTTGTGTGTAAGAGTGAGAGAGCTTGCGCACAGCGAAAGGCCACAGCAGCGCACGCCTGCGCGCGCGCTGTGAAGGGCTGTCAAACATGAGGGGTCGCAGTTTGGTCGCAGTTTGGTCGTCAAACATGAGGGGTCGCAGTTTGGTCGCAGTTTGGTCGGAGTTTGGTCGAATTTTGTCCCCGGCACATTCTAACTAATAGTTAGAAAATAGTCTAAACTATTAGTTAGAAAATCGTGTGTGTTTTTGGAACCAAAAAAATAGACTATTAGTTAGAATCGCGCCGGGCCAAATAGTCTAAATATACTATTTTTTCGGCGCAACAACGAGACTAAATAGTTAAAAAAAATAAACTATTTTCCACCACAAAAAAATCTATCTAATTTATAGAATTAGATCTAATTCTATAAATTAGGTAATTCCTAGTTTTCTGACTAATCTGGTCTATTGGGCTTTCGACGATGGTCGTGAAAGAGCAAGTCAAGTTTGAAAAATGGCATCAACGTGCTACACAATTGGTGAAGGATGAGCTAGAGATCTTGGACGCTGGAGCAGGAGATGTGGCTAGGAGTACTACAAGAAGGGCTTCAGCGAAGAAACCACATCGAGACAGCGCTGAGTCGGATGCAGGTAGAAGGTGCAGCAGAAGAAAAATGGCTGGTTACAAAGACAGTCGGGCCGAGCTGGAGAGCTGGAGAGGAGTGGCCGAGAAGGAGTATACAGCGTTGGTCAAGGAAAGCAAGGCGGTGACACCGATTGCGAAAAAGGAGGTTGAAAGCACTGCGGGCCCGGCGGAGGTTCTCCCAGGCAAGGCGGTGTGCGCAAGGAAGTCTCCGGATGGGAGGAGGAAAGTTCGGGGAGTCGTCTGTGAAAAATTCCAAGAAGAAAAGGACGCGGACAAAATATATGCGGGAGGAGATGATGGGCTTCAGACCAGAATGTACAGACAGACATACTGCGTTTCTACACGCGCCGATAGTCATGGAGGTTCCGGGCTGAAGTGCCTATGAGATTTTGTGGATTCGAGGTCTACAAGAGGGACGGAGGCTATCTGGTGAACCAAAAAGCCTTTGCAGAGACCTGGTGGCCAAGTGGGGTCGCGAGGGCTCGGAGTCGTTGAACTATAAGCTCCCGGACGAGAGTGACGAGGACTGTAGTCCGGAAGAAATCAAGGAAGCTCAATCGATCACGGGCGCATTGCTGTCTCCAGGACCCGACCGGATATTGTTGTGGCAGTCGCGAGGATGTGTTGAAGCGCGTCAAGGGCACCACGGAGCGGGGCCTCAACTATGGTCCGGTGGAGGGCTGGGCATCACGTGGCGGGTTAGGTTTGAAGAGGCAGACCAACATGGTGGAGGTGTTCGCGGACATTTCTTTTGCATCCGGAGAGTGCGTGCGCAGGGCATTGTGGGCTTTGTGGGTGGAGCTCCGATATGCTGGGAGTCAGTTCGCCAACCTTTTGTGGCGCAGAGTACGGCGGAAGGAGAGTTGATAGGCTACTGCGAAGGCTTGACGGTTGGAAGAGCCTTGGGCGAGAAGGTCCGTCAGAAGAGAACGTGCCCCCAGCATGGCGGCGGTCAGCCGGCCCCCGTTAAAGGGAGGAGAATGGGTTCTGGAGCACATGCCGGGGCGCAGTTGGTGGCAGATGGTCTCACCAAGCTGTTGCTAGGGCAGGCTTTTGGGAACTTAGTTGGTTGAGTTAGGAATGCGTAAGGCCATTGGGCTGCAAAAAGAGCCAATGGGCTGCGCCAGGCGAGAGTAGGAGGGCCGGGCCGGGAAGATGCCAGGTCAGGAAACCTGAGAAGATCGGGCAGGGAAAATGAACCGCCCACAGACAAGAGATCCAGGGCTGGATCGACCCCGGAAAGACGGTCAGTTAGGTTCTGCAGCTTTGGTAGGTACCGCTGCCCGGAGGGCTGGTCGCAGCTGCCTGAAAACGCAGGTGGAGGCTGTGAGTCATGCTGATGGCTGTGGGTGCTGCAATGGCGGTGAAGTGGACTGCCGGAGGGGCGGTCGGTAGTATGAGAAGGATGAAGGTGATCGAGATTTCGGGCACAGAGATCTATGGCAAGCGCGCCTTGTCTAGAGGTGCGCAGAGCAGCGATGACGAGGACTACCTGGCCTGGCGAAGGACAAGCACGTGGAAGGAGTGAAGGAAGAGGAGAAGCAGGAGGGATTTGGAGCGGCTGACGCGGCGGCTTCGGAGAGTTCCTTTGTCGGGAGGAAGAAGGTGCGCAATACCGCGTGGAACCAGTTCCAACGTGAGCACAGCAAGAAAGGCTGGTCAATGACGCGGATGCGGCAGGAGTACTATAACCAGGAGAAGAACGAGAAGAAGGGGGTTTGAGCTTGGATTTGAGCCGGTGTATTAACCCGGCCGTAGCACGGCCGGGGGGAGCCCGATGCGTTTCGGAAGCCCCTTTTTACGAATCAAGCGTGGGGAAAAACAACCTGTGCTATCAAGCCTGTAAGCCCACAAGAGCACGCAAAAAATGTGTGTGGCATTCACCATGCTGCATCACTTGTAAAGCTGGGCTTAACTATGTGTGATGGAGCGCAGGAAAAACAAACACAGGCCTGCAGAAGCGTGAAAACTTTCGCA